GGACACAGTTCTGTGGGTGCCCAGCATCCCTGGTGGGTGGGCCTGCACCAGCCCAGGGCTGGTAGAAGCCCCGGGCTTAGACAGTTTTACTCTTAGACCACCGAACATTTTCTTTCAGTATTCAGAGAAGACTCTTCGCTGCTTCTAGAAAAAGTTTTTACATTGGGTGCCAGCTCTGGGCCAGGCACTGTGCTAGTGCAGTGATAGCCATTGTGATCGTCGCATCACCGAGGAATGTGTCTGCATGTGCAGTCAGGGTCCCTTTCAGCTTCTGGTATTTGGTGCTGAGCTATTTAAGAATTAGAAATGGGAGAGGGAAAGTGGAATTTTAAATAAGTTGCTCTGAAATCGGATTGAGAAAGTTTAAGGGGCAAAGGCTTGCGGTTAGGCGGATTTCTAGTGATCTGGGTGAGAGGGCAGATGCAAGCCACTGGCTTAAAGCAGATGTCAGGGATAAAGAAGACATAGATATGAATGAGGGTTAATGTAGATAGCTGTGTACCTGTCTTTATGGTAGAGCTTTTCATTTAATCTTTATAAAAACTCATTCCAACGTTGACTCATGAGAACCACACAGGACGAGTAGAACTGCCTCATAGGAACTCCAAGGCCTTCAGTCATTGTGGACGCGGAGTGCTGCATCTTTTTCCATAAGTGCCTGGTGGGCTCAGCCATCCATCTTTCGGTTAGCATCGGAGCACTTAATCATTGTACCACCAGAGATTCTCAAAAACCCTTAGAAGGGAGATGCTATTACGTCTGCTGAAGCCGTGGAGGCAGAGAGAGATTAAATGACTTGGCTGAGGTCACACAGCTAGTAAGTGACAGCACTGAGCTGCAGCCCCTGATCACTGAAATGATGCTCTCTTACGCTTGCCTGTGTGGAGAGAATTCAGGTGAGATTGGGACATGGTGAGTGACTAGGTTGAGGCCAAGGAGGCAAGATATCGAAGAGGACCTGAAGGTCTCTAGGGAGGTGTCCAGGGGCAGGTGGGGCTGTCTGCTGAAGACCACAGAGGAAGCCGCTTCTGGCTCTGTCAGTATTTCCATTTTATTGGTGTTTATCCAATTGTAAGCCCAAGGTGATTCTGCTCTAATGGAATCTTAGGTTTCTTTTGTTACAACTTTAGTCTACTTAACATGTGTACATTTTCTATGTAGTCAAATTGCATGTCAGTAGTATGCTGGGGGGAATCCGTAGGCCCTGTGCCGTGTGGAAATGATATGAGAGCCTTGCTGAGCTCCTGTGGGGAAGTGCTCATTGGTGGCCGTCTTGCTGGGGTTTGACCTGTGGGCGTTTTCTGTTTCTCAGTAATAGAATCTCACCCAGATAACGCATTAGAGGATCTTCGGCTGGATAAGCCATTTCCTGAGTTGCGAGAACATTTTCAGTCATATGACTTGGATCATATGGAAAAGAAGGTTGGTAGTCTCCCGTATGGTTTCCTAACATGTTAAAATTGCACAACAGGGAATGCTATAAACCTCCTCGTACCTGTCATCTAGATTACACTATAACAGCATTTTACCTTTTTTGTTTCAAATGAATCTATCCACCACCACCCCCAAAAAATAATTTCCAACTCTCTCATTGAAGAAAAATAGATTCAGTGAATGTATCTATGAAACCGTCCCTCAGATCAAGAAACTAACATAAACATGGGCACCTCTCAGAAGCCCTGTCCATGCTCTGGTCCGAACAGTGTCCTTTAACAAAGAGTTGGAATTGGTGCATCTTTATTGAGGTTGATTTCTCTTGAAATTTATTTTAAGTGTTTTAGTACTGCCAAGGCCGTTTTGCATATTTCATTAGAGAATTAATTATACTTGTAAAAATCAGACTATATAATTTACAGAGCATAGAAGGTACTTTTCCACATACATAGTAATTAAGATGTACCCTATATACTCGAGTATAAGCCGAGTTTTTCAGCACATTTTTTATGCAGCTTTTGTGGTAAAATTCGGTGCCTCGGCTGACACCCGGGTGTATGTGGTAAGTTTGGTTCATCTGAAGACCTAGAGGAGACCGTCTTTGCTCAGTCTGCGCTCGTAGCGGAGGTCACGCGATACGAGCTGCAGTGTGGGTGACAGACTTGAGGACAGTCCTCACCCTAAACGGACGTGCCAGTACTGTGTTGGACACTGCATGTGAACTGATGCATAAGGTAGTTTGTAGTCATCTCATTGCTTTCCTGTGGGTAGTGGGAAATAGTAAATAATGGTGAGTTTGCTGAAAATGAGCTGCACTGTGAAGAATTGACATGATTACTGACATTTTCATTGATTGTCTCTTGTTTTCAGGATCATAGCCACACTCCATGGATTGTGATCATAGCTAAATATTTAGCACAGTGGTATAGTGAGGTGGGTCTCCTTTAATTTTTACTTTTAAAAGGTATTTCGTAGGCAACTGTTAATCTTCATTCAGTACTCTAACAAGAATTGAATACTTGAATAAAGGATTTCATTGGATGGGGCAGGAGATTAATTTTTTCCCTTATGGGATTATAGGGAAGGAGGATGCTTTTACATTTAACCATTCCTTTTTTTATACTATCTTGTTAAGTTCAGTGTGAGTCAGTGGCGTTTGAAGCGGGAGGGAGGGAGCACACGAGGAGAAGTGACTGACAGATTGTGTCTTCTGTCCAGTGAGCATTGGTCCCTGAGGTCTCTATCCGATGATGGGACTCTCTTGTGGGCAGGAGGGGAGGCCTCTGAATCCCATTTTGCATCTTCTGACTTTTCACAAGTAGATCAAAACAGGTTTTTCAACCGTTTCAGACAAATGGCCGAATACCTAAAACATATCAAGAGAAGGAGGACTTCCGAGATTTGATTAGACAAGGTGAGAGCCCGAGTGTGATTAAAAGCTGGAGAAAGTTTGCAAAGCACGCTACCTGTAGCACCTCTTTACTGGTTGCTTGGTTGGACATTTGTCAAATGAGCTTCTATTTTTCCTTTCCCTTGGGGAGGTTGGGGAGCCGTTTCTAACGATAAGCCATATACTTTCTTGAGAGTTTGTATTCTGATCATTCCTTCAGAATCTGGCTCAGTTATTTCCATGATGCTGGGCCCGGACAGGGAAAAGGAGCCAGAAGAAAGGGCCTATCGCTTGCTAACTGATTTCTACTTTGATAGGAATTCTAAAGAATGAAAACGGGGCTCCAGAAGATGAGGAGAATTTTGAAGAAGCGATTCGAAATGTGAACACAGCACTAAATACAACTCAGGTACTGAAAAGCTTGATGAGGTGTTTCTAGTAAGAAAGGCGCTTTTGTGTGTGTGAGATCGTGGAGTATGGATATTTATTTTAATTGCCTAGCTGGTTAGAAGTACGATTTTCTAATACAGAGCAAATCTTGTCTTAGTACGATTCTATGCGTAGTGCTGGTTACAGTGGATGCCAGTGGTACGTAGGCAGTAATTGAAGTACCTGATTTGGGGCTCGGAACAGTTGGGAGGCAGGAGTTAGCTAAATCAGGTGGCATTTTTGCTGGCCCCACAGAGTGTGGCTTGAAAAGTTCAAAAGCTTCTTACCCTGCATTTGCTTTGGTAGAAACTGCTTGAATAGAATGGAGCATGGAGATAACTCCGTTTCTGTGCCCGTGGATTTGGTTTGGGGCTGAAACCTGCCCAGTGAAGTATTGGAGGCAGTTGGGAACAAGAACACTTGGTCGTTTAGGTTCGCATTTTCTTGGAATTAAAAAACGCTGCCTTTGAGATATGAAAGCACTTGAGTGATCTGTACAGACTTTTAGGAGATAGTGAGGCAGTGTTGCTCGGTGAGACACTGATGGCGGTCCAACACGTGGTGGTCCAACGTCCCGTGTAGTTGACAGAGCTCGCTGCACAGGGAAGATCTGTGCGCGTCACGGAATGTAAAACTTAACCGAATTCAGACAGACAGGCCGTTTCAGTGGTTGGATGAGACAGTAAACACCAGCCCTGGAGTGATTAGTGCTCTGAACACAACGAGAGGAGACGGAAGGGTAGCAGATGATGAAGAAGAGGGAGGGGGTCTGGGTGAGAGGCAGCTTTGGGGAGGAGCCTGGGGAAAACTGCAGAGAGGGGCTCCGTCGAAGTCTGAGCGCAGCCACACGCTGCGTGAAGAGCTCGGGTGCAGAGCAGTGCTGACGTGGGTCGAGTTTGGCGTGTTCCAGGATCTGTAGGGCAGAGTGGTGGGAGTGAAGAGACCAAGGGGAAAGTTACAGGGGAGACTGGAGCTGGGAAGAAGCAGACGAGAGCTAGGTCATCACGGGCTTTGCAGGTTTGGGGAGTGTTTGAGCAGGGTGTTGGAGTGATGTGACTTCTATTTCTGGAAGATCATTCCGTCTGTTGTAAGAATAGGCTGGCTGTATGGGATCAGGAGTGGAAGCAGGGAGACCAGTAGAGAGGTTCCCAGTTAGAAGTTTCTTTTCCCACACGTCAGCAGTCGTCACATGTGATAGCTCACATTTTTGTGACATTATTTTGCTCTTTCTAACCGTCTCCCCCACCGTCATTGAGTTGATCCTGACTCAGCAAGCAACCCTGTGTAGGGTTTCCGAGGCTGTAAAGGTTTAATAGACCAGACAGCTTCATCTGTCTCCCAAGGCGCGGGTGGTAGGTTTGAACTCTCGAGCATGTGGCTCACAGCCCAGTGCTTACCCAACAGTACCACCAGGGCTCCTTTGCTAACAGTAAAAGAACTCCCTTAACTACCCAGTGTGTGTCAGTGTTGGCTGTTCTTTCATCATCAGAAATCAGGGTATTAAGTTTTTAACAAGAAGGTAAAATATGAAAAACTAGAAATCTAGCCTGACATTAATCATGTCTGTGGTCTTGATAGAGATCTTCAAATGTAACTGGATTGAAAAACAACCTTTAGACCTTCTCGACTCTTATGGGTGAGATAACAGGTCCGTTTTTAACAGAGAGGGGTTTCATTCTTTCCTTCCCAGTCAAAATCTCCACATGGTACTGATGCCGAGCAAAAGCCGACATAAATCAAGCTTGTGTAGATTATAATTTGAGAATTCCAACAACTTGCTTGAAGAAATAGCTTTGAAAACAAAGGAGGGAAATTTCTAAATAAATGTAAATGTTCTGTGTTCCTTTGTTAGATTCCAAGCGGCATTGAAGATATTTTTAATGATGATTGCTGTATAAATATCACCAAACACGTAAGCAAAGAAAAGAGGAGGGGACATTTATTGCTGACTGAATAATTTGGATCAAATTAAAATGTCCCTCCATGCTTTTTTACTTTCTTCCTCCTTTTAGACACCACCGTTTTGGATTTTAGCTCGTGCCTTAAAGGAATTTGTGGCCAAAGAGGGTCAAGGAAATTTACCTGTTCGAGGCACAATTCCTGATATGATCGCAGACTCGGGCAAATACATAAAACTGCAAAACGTGTAAGTCATTGTTTTCAAACCATGTGACAGATGTTCTTGTCTGTTTATACTAGAGTAAGGTGACCAGATTTAAAGCGGGACACCATTGACTGAGGGTGGGGTGGGGGTGTTCTTGATAAAAAATTTGGTGTATATGGACCAAATAGACTGTTCCCTAGCTTGTCGTGCATTCTTTCCAAAAATTGGGACTGTTAAAAAATGCCAAAAATTGGGACTGTCCGCCAAAAGCAGGACGTCTGGTCACTTTATACTAGAGATAAACATTAGACGGGGGGAAAGTCATGTCTGTCAAAAATCAATGGGAGCCTTCTATAACCTTATCGTTTACAAAATAAGGTAAAGGGCTTAGGGGCCAATATTTTCCTTTTACATTACATGGTAAAAACCTCACATTTGAGACTCACTCTGTGGTTAGGGCTGTTTTTCTGTACTAACTAATGCTTACAACGGCCTTAGACCGTTTTGAGAGCTAGGGACACTACGGTAACTTATTGGGGAAAATGGCAGAACCAGGATTTAAACTGGCAAATCTTCCTCCAGAGCCCATGCTTTGAACTACATGCCATACTGTCTCTTATCTGTAACTTAGAACTTTGAAGTCTTTGGTTTTGATGATTTTTTTTTGTGAACGTTTCATAACGTAGAGAATCTCTTGCTGTACACACAGATCCAGGTACTTACTAGCCTGAACCCAGAGAGACTGTCACAGGACGGTCTCCATGGATAGGACGCGTGTGTACTTCAGGCCTGGTGCTGATCAATCTAGGGTCACAGACTTGGTCTCAACTCACTGCATTGAGTCAATGCTGACTCAGCAACCCTGTAGGACAGGGTAGAACTGCCCCTGTGGGTTTCTGAGACTGACTGTGGAGGGGTAGAAAGTCCCGTGTTTCTCCCACTGAGCAACAGGCTCTTTAAAACTGCCGACCTTGCAGTTTGCAGCCCAACACGTAACCGCTATGACACCGGGGCTCCTGTAGTCTCCTCAAGAGCCAGATAATGTCACGCAGAGCTCTCTGTTCCCCAGACAGGTGGCACTCCTCATTTCAGTGTCTACCACGTGTTCGTTTGTTGTCCCAGCCTAAGAGCTCAATTACTTAACAGTGGGGAGGAAAGGTGAGTTGAGGATAGAAAGAAGCATGCTCTCTCAGACAGTCATCAGCTTAAACACTGGTCCATCTTGAGAAGGAAAGGGTGTAATCTCTGTCCGTGAACTTGTAGATGGACCGTTGTAACTTGGAAGGACTTGAAGGAGGTACACCAGTGGTGCTCAAACTTCCTAATGCCATGACCCTTTAATACCTCATGTTGTGGTGACCCCCAACCATAAAATTATCTTCGTTGCTACTTCTGTAACTTTGCTACTGTTATGAATTGGGTGACCCTTGTGAAAGGGTTGTTCGACCCCAGAGGGGTCGCGACCCACAGATTGAGAACTGCTGAAGTACACTGTGCTCTTTATGAGCACATTTGCCCGGCGCTCTGCCCGGTGGTGTGGGCTGCCACTGTCGAAGGTGAATGCTGTTAGTTATAGCGGGCCTGTTAGTGGGCTTCTCGAGTCCCTCCCCAACACTAGAACGACCCCCAACCACTAACAGGCACTGCTAATGGCATCTCCCCAGCATCTTCATGTTTCCTATGTTGCCAGGACCACAGAGGGGTCTTTTGTGTGCTCCATGGTGCTGATTTGCATTTTGTTCGTTGTAAAATTCGTGAACCTTCGCTTTTCTGTTGTTCACTGCCAGTTACCGTGAAAAAGCAAAGAAAGATGCGGCTGCTGTGGGTCATCATGTTGCGCAATTGCTGCAGTCCACGGGCCAGGTAAGCTGTGGGCAGGGTGCTCGGTGGGCAGCCCCTGCGGGCCTGCATGGCTGCCTGCAGGCTTAGAGTGAGAGGGGCTCCCCCTGCACAGCCATGTCTCTCTAGAGGCGGTTCTTGCCTGCCTCTCGAGTGAGAAAGGGTAGTGAGGGATCTAGAAATGCTTTCCCTCAACAGTGAGCTGGTTTTGGCTGCTTCCTCTTTTAATCAGCCCTTTCCTACTAGAGGAAAACCCATGTTTATCTCTTTACAGGCACCAGAATCCATTTCAGAGAAAGAACTGAAATTACTCTGTAAGTCCTCTTGACTTCATTTCCTTATTTTGCTGGATAAAAATGTGCAGCCATGTTCCCAGTAATTAGAAGTAGCTGAAATTGTAGATATTCCGTGGCGTGGCTGTGCATAATTACTGGACAGGCTTTTCTTTTGCTGAGCATCACAGATGGCGCGTGTTTCACAATGAGGCCAGAGATAGAGCATGTCCACTCATGGTAGTTCTAAAAAGGACATTTGGGTCCTTTCACTGAAAACGGAATCATCATCAATACAGAATTATTTTCAACTTACTTATTTTAGGAAGGTTTTACCTGAAGATTTTTGGCGATAATCTTGAGCCAGACGTACTTTGATTATATTGGTTTAAATCCTCATTTTCCTCTGTGCCAGATGACTGTGATGGATTTAGGGATTTTGCTTTTTAGTTGTGGGGTTGCTGGACTTTGAGGCACCTTTTTTCCAATTGTGGTCAATAAGAATGTTAAGAAAACATTTTCCTTTGAGCCTTCTTCACGTGTACAGTCCAGTGGCAAGGGTCCATTCACCATGCTGTGCAGCCGTGGCTGTTAGCTCCCGTGCTTTTCTGTTAGCCTTAGTGGAACCTCTGCGGGGTCTTCTTGACACGGTGCCAGGACCGCAACCTTTCCTTTTTTGTAAGAGTCCGCTTTCAAAGAGCACAGAACGCATTTTATATGACTGCTGAAGGTTTTTCTCTGTTGCTGCTCCCACTTTCTGCAGAGGTGTGCATTCTGCAGGGTGGTCCCACCCTTAAAGAAGGAGCCCTGGTAGTGTAGCGGGTTTTCACTGGGCTGCGATCCACATGGTTGTCAGTTCGAAACCACCAGCAGCTCCGTAGGAGAATGACTGGGCTTTCTAGTCCCATAAACCAGTGGTTCTCAACGTTCCTCATGCCACGACCCTTTAATACAGATCCTCATGTTGTGGTGACCCCCAACCATAAAGTTATTTTTGTTGCTACTTCATAACTAATTTTGCTACTGTTATGAATTGGGCGAACCCCGTGAAAGGGTCGTTTGACCCCCAAAGGGGTCTCGACCTAAAGTTGAGAACTGCTGCCATAAACAGTTATAGTCTCAGAAACCCATTGGGGTCGCTATGAGTCAACATTGATATGATGGCGATATGTTTGGTATTTTTTGGTTTTGTCCATAAAGAAGATGTAGCCAACGACCATTTCATGGCTCTTCCACCATGCTTTCGTGGGCTTAAGTTCAGAGTTGTGTTCCATGACTCATCTTGCACCTTGTTTTCACTGTTAGTATGTGTTCTACTAGATCACACAATCCCAGATTACAAGTTAGGTGTTGGGTATATGGGGGGTTATTATTCTATATGTTCTACTTGGTGTATGTTTGAAAATTTCCGTAACAGAAAGTTAAAAAACAGAACATATATACAGCACAATATATAATACACATCATTTAGGACTATCAGTAATGATAATAGTAATAATGATGATGAAAGCAACTGTTTATTGTGCTGATGGGCACAGGACCGGGCTGTGTCTCATTCTGTTACACGCAGGACTGCTCTGAGTCAGAACAGACTCGATGGCACTTAAGAACAACAAACTATTGAGCCGCAAATGGTATCGTTCCCATTTTACAGTTGAGAAACTGAGCCTCAGCAAGGCGCCATCACCTACTTAATCAGTGCTGAGCTGGTTGTGCTAAGGGTATGAATTTAAGATGACGTACTTTCTTGGCGAACCATCAAAGCCCAATAGAAGACATTTCGTCACATTCCCACCTCTGTGCAGAGAGCATACAGAGTTTCCTGTTGTTAAGTCCCCTGTGCTTGAGCCCGCTCATGTGATCACGTTTCCCTCTGTCCAAGGCAGTAATTCTGCATTTCTGCGAGTGGTAAGGTGTCGCTCCTTAGCTGAAGAATATGGTTCGGATACAGTTCACAAGGAGGAAATTAGTAAGTACAGTAACCTACTGGTGGTAGGTCTTAGTCTTAATTACTTATAAAGACACCCATATTTTATATCCAGTAGTATGCATATATGGTGATAATGAATAAGTAATGTAATATAAATATGTCCTAAATTTTATTCTGCTGTTAGCATTCCAAAGTTAAAGCCTTGACATACATAAAGTCGTATTTAGGTCACGGAATCAGTTGTATGATAATATGGATTTAAAGTCCGCATGCCACTACTTTTAGTAGAGATTGTGTGAGTATAATTAATAGCCTGTGAGACTACTCAGTTTCATCTTAATGTGTCTCCTGTATTCTTATTTACTGTTTTCTATTTTACCAGTGCAGAATATTTAAATTCTGTAGTTAAAGTGTCTTGGATTCTGAAACTTGAGTGTGCATAAATTCAATTATTGTTTTGTGTTGTAAATTGCCCAAATTATACTGGAATTTTTATTTTTATTTGTTTTCCCTTTCAGTTTCTAGCATGGACAATCCAGATAGTGAGATAGTGTTGTACTTAATGTTACGGGCGATTGATAGATTTCATAAACAACATGGCAGGTACCCAGGTAAGACTAGCCAGTGAATTGTCAACTATGATAACATCTTGAACAGCTACTTAAATTGAGTTGAATCTTAAAATAATACCCTCAGAGCGTGGATAATGGTGGTACTTAGACATTCTAAACGGTTCACACTTAGTTCAGTCCAATTGTTTCCTCTGACAAACTATTATTCTGCCATCGGTCTTCATTTTTTGGTAAATGTCTTGTTTGTTTTGTTGTTTCTCGTGTACAAGGCAAACTTGGCCCCGTTCACCAGTTTTTACACATGCACTTCAGGGACACTGATGACATTCTTCACGCTGTACAACCCTCCTGCTCTAGCCATTTGTTTTCAGGTGTACATGTTTTAAAATAATAGTTGGGTGAATATTGAAGACAGCTTTTTTTTTTTCATGTCAGTTTGCTTCTCAGAGACACACTGAGTTTAATCTGGGGAGGATGCCATTGACTTTCAGACTGAACTCGGAGCGTGTAGGGCTTTCATTGCTTAGTATCTGTTTCTTGCTGTTTGCAAATGTAGGAATTGGCATAATGTCCCAAATCTACAGTTGCCTCTAATATTTTTTTATGTTATTGATAATGTTAACTGTTCAGTATCATTACTTAGTAATATATGCTGGTATGTCCTAAGACCTGTTGCCCCAGCTACTGTAGTACATGCCTCCTAGAACTTAATGAACAAGTTAACCAGGAGGAGAAAAGAAACACCAAACATACTGCTTTATTTGTGTTACTTGATTAGAGTGTTTATTGGGTTATATATCAGACATTCTACCCCAAAACTTGATGGATTAAGACATCTGTTTAAAGTATGCACACTGAAAGTTATTTTTACTCGCATCTCAGGAAGCTTGAATGGCCGAGGCCTGGCCAGCCACGTAGAGCTTCCTTTTAGGGTGATACTCTCAGGGCAGAATGCGCCCTGGTGGCTGCTTCCCCATAAGTTAAGATTCCAAAAGATCCAGGTAGCAGGCGCAAAGCTGCTTTTGACCCAGCCCTGGATTCACACAGTATCACTTTGGCTGTATTTGGTTTCACAGGGCCACTCAGATAAGGAGTGGGTGGACCGGTGTGCACCATTGTGGAGTGTCCATCAGGGAGCCATCTTGGGAGACTAGCTGCCCTCCTAGAGCAGCGGTTCTCAACCTTCCCAATGCGCGGCCCTTTAATACAGTTCCTCATGTTGTGGTGGCCCCTGACCATAAAATTATTTTCATTGCTACTTCATAACTGTAATTTTGCTACTGTTATGAATCCTCATGTAAGTATCTGATATGCAGGGTGTGTTTTCATTGTTATAAATTGAACATGATTAAAGCATAGCGATTCATCACAAAACAATATGTAATTATATATTGTGAAATTTTTATTTACAATTACAAATAAATGAAATTTTGTCTTGAAGCATGTTGCAGCATGGGTAACAGTCTTCACTCCGGGTGCTCTCCTAGGTGAGCATGTCTGCCTGTGGGCAGACCCGCCAGGGGACGGATAGGGGAGCGTGTCTCGGTTCCTAAGACCATCGGAAATAGGTGTTATCCCGGGTCTTAGGCGACCTTTTGGTCGTTCAACCCCCTAAAGGGATCGCGACCCACAGGTTGAGAACCACTGCTCTAGAGTCTGGGCTTTGGAGTTAGACCTGGCTTCAGATCAAAGCTGTAGCACTTACCATCTCATGTCCTGTAGTAAGCTGGCATGTCCCTCCCAGTCTCGGTGCCCTCATTTATGGATCTGACAGGAGTGTCTGCTCATGGGATGATAAGATTTAATATGCGATGTTGGAAAATCGGCACACTGCTTAGCATCTTGTAAGTATTCAATGAAGGGTAGGTAGTGCTGCCGTGCAGCAGAGTAGTGATCCTAGTACTTCAACAAGAGTTTTTAAATACCTGCGTATTATGGTAATTTTTCCCTTTCAGTAGTGGTGATAACAGGTTTCTTTGTAGACATTACAATCATAAAAATCATTTGTTCTGCAGCAAACTGCATATTTATAGTATAATATTGCTCCTTGATAACTACATAACTCAGACAAGTACCTTAATCTGCTTCAGTTTTTTTTTTCATCTGTAGAATGAGAATAATAGTACTTACTTCGTGAGGTGGTTGTAAGAATTAACTTTATCTGTGTGTGTAAACAAAGTGCTCAGAACCATTTCCTCTACCTATTAATATTTGTTATTATTATAGCTTTATGTGTTCAGTTTCATTTCGCTTCCTAGAAATGGATAGTAAAGACCATACTTAAAAAAAAAAAAGACCATACTGTTTATAAAAGGTCTGAGTAGGGCATTGCTTTCTCAGTGATTCAGTTTGTTCATCAAATAATTAGCACCTACTGTGTGCCAGGCACTGCTTTGGACACTGGATAAAGAGCTGTGAGTAAAACAAACTTACCAAACTAGAATTTTTAGTGTTTTACTTGTACACTTTCATTGTTACAGGTCTCCAATACCTTTAAATAATATTAGTCATATACCGTCCATTATGTCACACTGTATTGTTTTGATTAGAATACCTAAAGCTGGATTAAAGGAGGTAGCCATTCATTTAAAATCACATAGGTACGGGACAAAGGCTGCCAGCCAAGCTCAGCTGGGCAGCTGTGCCCATGTGGCATCGTCACATCCAGCTTGGGTCCCGACAACCGAAGCCCTCTGTCATCTGGGAATGTCTGCATCACACTAGAGACGGACGGCTCAGAGTGACAGACTGCATGGCATGCACACGCATGCACGCACGCACACACGCATGCACGCGCACACACGCATGCACGTGCGCACACACACACAGGTACACACAAATTTAATACAAACCAAAAGCCTAAAATAAACTCTAGCTCTCCCCCCCCAAAAAAAAATCACATAGGTAGTATAATGAAAGGTGCCCTGGTCGTACTGTGAGCTAAGCATTGGCTGCTAATTGCAATGTCAGTGGTTCAAAGCCACCAGCTAGCTGCTCCTTGGGAGAAAGATGAAGCTGTTTGCTCCAATAAAGATATACAGTCTCGGAAACCTTGAGGTGCCATTCTACCTTGCCCTGCATAGTTACTAGGAGTCAGAATCGACTTGATGGCAGTCAGTTTGCTTTTGGGTTGGTTAGTGCATGTGTATTTTATTTATTTATTCACTCTTTAATTTTTTTCCCCAGGGGTTTCTAACTATCAAGTTGAAGACGATATTGGAAAGTTGAAGTCATGTCTCACTGGCTTCCTTCAAGAATATGGCTTATCCGTCCTGGTGAAAGATGACTACGTCCATGAATTGTGAGTGCTTTCTAGGGCTCCGGGGGAGAATCCCCTCCCTGTTGTGAGCTTAGCTGAGTTGGTGTCTCAATCCTTTCTTTCAGTTGCCGATACGGAGCTGCCGAGCCACATACCATTGCTGCATTCTTGGGAGGTGAGTCCCATAGACGAAAAGACTGTCACACATCTGTTTCTATATAGCAGTTGCTACATTAATTGTTCCGTTCTCAGCTATTTTAGTTGGAGTTGTCAGTGCAAGACAATATAAAGCTTGGATTCTCCAGTAACCTCCATACTGGTCTCTCTGCCTTCCACCTGGCCTACTCCCATTCATTGTTTTTTTCCCCATCCATCTTAATGTCACGAAGAATCACTAATCTTTCTAAAGTATAACTCTGGTTGTATTCCTCACTTAGCTAACTCTAGACCCACCAAAACACACACACACACACACACACACTCTCTCTCTCTCTCCCTCTCAAAAACATACTCTCTGTCACTAAAAAAAAAAGTCCAGCCCTCTTCTCCCTACTGTCTGGGTTCTATGCTGATGATATATTCCTTCCAGATTACTAATGCTTTGAAGGTAGAGTCGTACTTGATTACTATTCAGAGTGTTCAAGATGTAAATGAATGACACAAACTTAGGAAAACCATATTCTAAGTAAACTCAGAACTCATTTATGGATGATTTATTTTAAACTAAAACCAGGTCTTATGCCAAAGTATCAAAGTTACCTTCTAATTTACAGAAATGATAAATTATAGTTTATTCAGCTATAAGTCATATAGACACAACTAGTGATATTGGGTGACTGGAAAACTTGCCAGTCCAGATTAAACCTGGTTGTCATCTACCAGTCAATTCTAACTCATAGTGATGCTGTAGGACACAGTAGAACTTCTCCATAGAGTTTCCAACCCTGTAATGGTTCCAGAAAAGACCTGGTGATAAATCAGTGGTTAAAGTGTTTGGCTGCTAACTAAAAGGTAGGTGGGGTTCAAACCCACCAGCCACTCTATGGAAGAAAGACGTAGCAGTCGGCTTCTATAAAGATTTACAACCTTGGAACCTGCATGGGTTAGTTCTTCTTTGTCTTACAGGGTCACTGAGTCAGACTTAATGGTAGTGGGCTTGGGAATCTTTTCAGAATCAAACTGCCACGATTTGTCCTGTGAACAGCTAGTGGGTTCAAACTGCTAACCTGTTGGTTAGCAGTTGAGTGCTTCACTACTGCATCACTAGGGCTCCTTTGAACTTGACACTGTAACACAGGAAAAATAAATTGAAATATTTTGCTTTTGTATATTCTGTATGCGAATGGGAAGTGAGATGGCTTGACACAGTTGCTACAACATGACAACAATTGTGAGGCTGGTACAGGACCAGGCAGTCTTTCCTTCTATTGTGCACAGGGTTGCTATGAGTTGGAACCAATTTGATGGCACTTCAACAACGTTCTAAAATCGTTGGACACATGCTGTTATACACCCTCGTTTCCTCTAGATTTTTTAAATTATTATTTTAATCATTTTATTGGGGGCTCATACAACTCCTATCGTAATCCATCTATCCATCCATTGTATCAAGCACATTTGTATATTTGTTGCCATAATCATTTTCAAAACATTTTCTTTCTATTTGGGCCCTTGGTATCAGCTTCTCATTTTTTCCCCTCATGAACCCTTGAAAATTTATAAATTACTATTTTTTCATGTCTTACACTGACCAGTGTCTCCCTTTACCCACTTTTCTGTTGTCCAACACCCTGGGAGGGGGTTATAGTTAGGTCATTGTGATCAGTTCCCCCTTTCAACCCCCACGTTCCCCTTACCCTCCTGGTCTGGCCACTCTCAATATTGCTCCTGATGGGTTATCTGTCCTGGATTCCCTGTATTTCCAGCACTTATCTGTACTGTGTACATGCTTTGGTCCAGCCAGATTTGTAAGGTAGAATTGGGGTCATGATATGTGTGTGGGACTGGGGGAGGAAGCATTAAAAAACTAGAGAAAAGTTCTTTGTTTCAACGGTGCTATACTGCACCCTGTCTGGCTCTTCTCCTCCCTGCGACCCTTCTGTAAGGGGATGTCCAATTGTTTTCAGATGGGCTTTGGGTCCCTACTCCGCACTCCCCCTCATTCACAATGATAGGATTTTTTGTTCTGGGTCTCAAATGCCTGGTACCTGATCCCATCAATACCTTATGATCACACAGGCTGGTGTGCTTGTTCCATGTGGGCTTTGTTGCTTCTCAGATAGATGGCTGGTTGCTTGTCTTCAAGCCTTTAAGACCCCAGACGCTCTATCTTTTGATAGCTGGGCACCATCAGCTTTCTTCATCACATTTGCTTATGCATCCTCTTTGTCTTTAGCGATCGTGTCAGGAAGACAAAGTGTTCTTGCATTGAGGGAGTACTTTAGTAGAGGCACAATTTCCATCTGCTACCTTAATACTAAACCTATAAGTATGTGTACAAAGGTTTATTTCCCCATTGTCATATATAAATATATTTACATATGTACATTCCTGTATTTAGAACTCTATAAATGCCCTTTGTCTCCTAGTTCTTTCCTCTATTTCCTTTTACTTTCCTCTTGTCCCACTATCATGTTCAGCCTTCATTTGGGTTTCAGTAATACCTCTCGGTTACATGGCCCTTGATCAAGCCCTACCAGGCCTCCTACAACCCTCCTTGCCATCAATTTTGGATCACTTGTTGTTCCTTTGTCCCTGGGTTTGTTAACACCCACTTCCTTTCCCCCACCTCCCCCTTTCCCATGTCCCCCTGGAACCGTCGGCCTGTTGTTTTCTCCTCCGGATTGTTTATCCTGCCTATCATTCTTTTTTTTTTTAGTAAAGAAAGATATATTTATTTCACCTTTGTTTTGCCATATTTTTTTTGTTTTGTTTTGTTTTATCTTATCTAGATAGACATGCAGAGATAATAATATGCACAAAAACAAGACAGAGCAAAACAAAGCAACAAAAGAAAACAAAATAATTCTAAAAGTCAAACCAAAAAAAGGCCTATAAATAGTTCAAGGTCTTTTTGTTGACCTTTACGAGTGTTTCCAGTTGAGTCTGATTGGGTGTCACACCCTCGCCCCAAAGTCTTATTTTTGGTATTCCCCGGGGACTTCCTTGCTCTGCTCCCCTTGCTTTTCTGTTGCACGCCCGTGGTGTTTCGCCCCAGTGTGGTGGGGTCAGATCAGGCACAATTCCTGCACTGTCTCCAGTGTTGTCCCTCGTAGCACTATGGCTCAGTGAGGGACGTCCTGTCTCCTGGTGGGGCTGGCCATATGGTCCTGTGTGCATTGGCTGCTCTGAGCAGGAATATCATCCTCAGGGCTTGGTAGGCCAGGATGTGCTCCACTCTCTCTCCCTCTCACTTTGTTTGCTTCTGTGTGTTCTGATCAGACATGTCCCTCTCCCTGAGCTGTAGCTTCAGTGCTGTCCTCTGAAGTGAATTATGCAGGGAGGGGGACTGTTCATGTAGTTGGGATTGAGGCTTGCCCCTCAGACCTCTCCATTGGTTCCCTGCTTCACGGTGGTGTGTTGCATTCATGTCTTAGAGCACCGGGTTGAAGTCTGGTCCCTTTTTCCCTGGTCACCATCTTGCCTCTCCCTCCCTCCTCTAGATCTTTACTCAAATGTTACCTTTTGGAGGATCATCCTTGACTCTCCTGTTTAAACTTTTTTTTGGCCTCCATGTTTTTTCTTCCTAGCACTTAATGTCATTTGACAAATATATACTTCATTAATTTGTAAATTTCTGTCAGTAAAAAAAAGTAAGATCCAAGGGGGCAGGGATTTTGTTCCCTACTGTCAGGAACTGGGACTTGTGCCTCGAACAGTATCTGGTATCTAGGAGAGGCTTAATTATTTATTGAATAATTCTGAATAATTTATTGAATTATCAATGAATAATTCTGAAAGATGAACCTTCAGCTTATAAAAGGAGAACCTTATTTATTTATTTTGGTCTTTGTTTTGAGTGGTTGCAATGACTTGTCAGTATTTTAAAAGATCCTTTGATAATTATAGATGTTTTAGGATGTTTTTGTTGTTTGGTACTGTTGACTTCAACTCCTAGTGACCCCATATTAATGGAATGGAACTGTTTCATAGGGTTTTCTAGGCTATGATGCTGGCAAGAGCAGATTGCCAGGCCTTTGTCCTTCAGAGCTGCTGGACGGGTGCAAACCACCAGCCCTTTGGTTAGAAGCCAGATGCTTAACCATTGTACCACCAGGGCTCCTCATTGCTTATAAAAGTGTGGTAGGAAAACCAAGAACTAAAGAAGGGGGTCCATAAGGGCAATGTAACCAAGAGGAATTACTGAAACCCAAATGAAGGCTGAGCATGATAGTGGGACAAGAGGAAAGTTAAAGGAAATAGAGGAAGAAGTAGGAGGCAAAGGGCATTTATAGAGGTCTAAATACAGGCATGTACGTATATAAATATATTTATATGTGACGATGGGAAAATCTATGTGCATATATTTATAGGTTTAGTACTAAGGTAGCAAATGGACATTGGGCCCCCACTCAAGTACTCCCTCAATGCAAGAACACTTCGTTCTATTAACCTGGCATTCCATGATGCTCACCTTCCTGACAACGATTGCTGGAGATAAAGTGGGTGCATAAGCAAATGTGGTGAAGAAAGCTGATGGTGCCCAGCTATCAAAAGATAGAGCGTCTGGGGTCTTAAAGGCTTGAAGATAAACAAGCAGCCATCTATCTGAGAAGCAACAAAGCTCACATGGAACAAGCACACCAGCCTGTGTCTATGGGATCAGGTATCAGGCATCAAAGAACAAAAATCCTGTCATTGTGAATGAGGGGTAGTGCAGAGTAGGGACTCAAAGCCCATCTGTAGGCAACTGGACATCCCCTTACAGAAGGGTTGCAAGGAGGAGATGAGCCAGTCGGTGCAGTGCAGCACCGATGAAACAAGGAACTTTCCTCTAGTGGTTAATGCTTCCCGCCCCGCTCTGCCCACCCCACCCCCTCACCCCTACCTCCGCTTATGATCCCAATTCTACCTTACCAATCCGGCTAGACCAGAGGATGTACACTGGTACAGATAAGAACTCGAAACAGGAAATCCAGGGTAGATGTACCCCTCAGGACCAGTGGTGAGAGTGCCGTTACCAGGAGGGTGGAGGGAAAGTGGGGTAGAAAGGGAGAACCGATCACAAGGATCTACATATAACCCCCTCCCTGGGGGATGGACAATAGAAAAGTGGGTGAAGGGAGACATCAGACAGTGTAAGACATGACAAAATAATAATAATTTATGAGTGATCAAGGGTTCATGAGGTAGAGGGGGGTGGGAAGGGAGGGGAAAAATGAGCTGATACCAAAGGCTCAAGAAGAAAGCAAATGTTTAGAGAATAATGATGTCAACAATTGTACAGATGTGCTTGACACAATGGATGTATACATGGATTGTATTGAGTCGTACGAACCCCCAATAAAATGATTTAAAACGACAAAAAAGGTGGGGTCCTTTGAGGAAAAAGTGCAATCAAACTGTACTACTGTTTTCCCCTTTGCTTCACTCAGATAGCTGGTCAGTCTTTTCAAAATGGCATAATATTCCATTATGCCATGACTGTGTGTGACTGTAGAACCAAACTTGTATTTCCTTTTAAAATGTACTTATAAAAATTGTGGTTTTTCTTTTATTAATTGTACTAAAATACATTTAACAAAGCATTTGCCATATGACCTGTTCATCGGTGTACAATTCCGTGACAGTAATGATATTCATCATGTAGTGGAACCATCGCACCATCCACTTCCATTTTTCCCTCAGAAGAAACTTGTTACCCCTCAAGTGACTGTATCTCATTTCCTCCTGGTCCTTAGTTTTAGTAGCCATATCCGTTTTGAAGTGCTTTTATTTAAACATGCTTGCTTTCGTCAAAGAACACGCTTTCTGTATAAGATGGGGTCTATAACACTTGAAATTTACCTTTTCAGATCATGCGTTTCTCCTTTTTTGCTTGCAGGAGCTGCTGCTCAAGAGATTATCAAAGTCATCACCAAGCAATTTGTAATTTTTAATAACACCTACATTTACAGCGGTATGTTACAGACTTCAGCAACTTTCCAGTTGTAGAATAAGCACCCTCAATAGGGTGTTAATAATGGAAGCTGTCATTGTTGTCAAGTTGTACCCTAGTCTGTAAAATTCTGCTAAGGAAGAGCTGTTAAATTGTTTTCTTAATAAACTTTTTTTTTTTCTTAATAAACTTTTTTCATTTGTAATCATACAGTCTTGGTTTTTTGAGAGAATGGAGGGGGGCAGGAAAGATAAGCAGTCTCATTTTCCCAGAGAATAAAAACTACTCATTTTACATTGACATCATTTTACTGACTTGTTCTTTCGATGTTGTTTATTACAGAAATCTCGAGTTTCACTAGAAAGAGCTTAAAGTTTTTGGTTTGTTTGTTTGTTTGTTTTTTAACAATATTAAATAATGAATTTAAGGCATGTATAGATTTTAGGTTTAGGCGTTTTCTGACCTTGGGCTGCTAACCACAAGGTCAAAAGTTCAGAACCGCTACGCAGCTCCGAGAGAGAAAGATATGAAGCGTTCTACTCCGGTAAGCTTTACAGCCTTGGAAGCCCACAGGTTGGGGGGGGGGGGGTGTTCTACCATGTCCGGAATTGGGTTGATGGCAGTGAGTTTGGTTTGGTTTGGTTTACCTCTTTTAGATCAGTACTCAAGCTGCCACCATGTTGATTCCAAATCATAGTAACCTTATAGGACAGAGTAGAACTGTGTGGGTTTCTAAGGCTGGAAATCTTTATGGAAGCAGAAAGCCTCATCTTTCTCCCACAGTGCATCTGGTGATTTTGAACCACTGACTTGGGGTTAACAATTCAATGCTTAACCCATATACCACCAGAACCCCAATCTATAATACATAAGACCTTAAATTTTATTTTAAAGAGCAATCATTGAAGTGATAGCATTCATTAGCATTAGAGCCCAGCCCACCCCCAAATTACCCAAAACACCCTACAATGAAATTGTTGTTAGCTGCCAGAGAGTCAGCTCTGACCGTGAGTACCCTATGCACAACAGAATGAAGCACTGCACGGTCCTGTGTGGTCTTCACAGTGCTTCCTGTGCCTGATCCCATTCATGCAGCCAGTGTCCATCCATCTTGAGGGGCTTCCCCTTTTCCCTCCACTTTACCAGCATGATATCCTTCTCCAACGACTGGTCTCTCCTGACAACGTGTCCAAAATATGTAAGACGAAGTCTTGCCATCCTTGTCTCAAAGGCGCACTCTGGTCTTACTTCCAGTACTGACAGATTTGTCCTTTTAGCAGTCCGCGGTACTTTAAATATTCTCCAGCACCATAATTCAAATGCATCTATTCTATGATCTTCCTTATTCAATGCCCAACTTTCACATGCATTTAATGCAATGGAGAATACCATGGCTTTAGTCAGACGGACTTTAGTCCTCAAACATCCTTGTTCAATATGTTAAAGGTCTTGTGCAGCAAATTTACCTAATGTAATATGGCTATTACAGCAATTTACCTAATGTAAATTGCTGCTTCCATGAGTATTGATTGTGGATCAATTTATCATGATGATAAAATTAGAAACATAAAATCCATAAGAAGGGCTAGTTTCTTATTTATGGTTGAGGAACATGTCACATGACTCAGCACCGTCATCTCCTAACCTGGCTGTGTCAGTCCTAGTACAGTGGCCTTGTGGACCTGTTAGACATGCCAGGAGGGGGCTTCGCAGGTTTCCTTGGTCCTAATGGGTGAAACCTTCCTTGGCTACCCTTCCAGCAAGCATCTCATTCCCACATACCTGCAGCCCCATTGGGTAGATTTTATTGAACACTGGAGGAGGCAAGGGAGCCCTGGTGACATAGTGGTTAAGAGTTAGGCTAAGATCTGCAAGATTGGCAGTATGAACCCAGCAACCACTCAATGGGAGAAAGGGCTTTTCACTCCCGCAAAGAGTTACAGTCTCAGAAACGCACAGCAGCAGTTCTACTCTACCCTATGGGGCTGCCGAGTCAGTCTGAACTCAATGACAGTGAGTTGGGTTTGGGTTTGGAAGGTCACCTGAGGAGTGAATGGGCTTTGATCTCACCTAGACCACTGTTCTAGGTTGAAGTGCACCAGGACACAGCTGTTAGGTGAGTGGGGAGGGAGGGGAACCAGGGACGGGGTGCTTGTTGGGGTTGGGGTGCCTTAATGAGTTGCCCAGTGGTGCATGGACCCAACCAAGAGAGAGGTTCGGTGAAGAACACAATGTGCAGCGACTGACCGGAATGGAAGCCCTAAAACCAGGGGAGATGGGATCAGAGAACTTTTATCCCTTTAAAGTTTTACTCTCTGCCATGAAAACCTTACCGTTTGTACATTTTCTACCTCCACACTGAAACGTCGTCGTCGATGTCGACGTCTTCGGTGCCACAGACGGCCAATCACCCGAGGGGCGGGGCCAGTCGCCGGAAGTTCCGCCCAGCGGAAGTAGCGGCTCGGTGGGAAAGCGCATCAGGCGTCGAGGTAAGTGGGCGGCGAGGCGAAAAGGGATGGCGGTCGGCCCGGTTCGATCCCCTCCCCGGCGAGGGTAAATACGGGTGGGCCTCAGCGCTGGACACGTATGATTCCAGCCGCAGCCCCACCACGGCCGGGTCAGCTCCGCGGTCGCCTCCCCGAGGCCGGCGCTGCCCTCCACAGCGGCTCGCCCGCAGCCCCCACAACTGCTGCCCCCTCCTGGGTGACTCCGGGAGGTGGTGTGCTGAGCTTTGAGGAGAAGCCCCCCGCCCCGCAGGAGGCAGCCGACCCCCCACTGCAGGCCCCCCAGACAGCCAGAGGGAAGACGGCAGTGTCGCTGGCCGCTTAGGCAGGCGTCCGAGGCCCGGCTTGTTTGCCACACGGGCTGGGCTTCAGACTCGCCAGGCACCTGCGCGTTGTGAAAGCTTGCCGGTGAGTCTGATGGGTGGACGCGTGGCGAATCCGCTGGCGAGGTCATGCCTCCAAGCCTCGGCGACCGCGAGTTCGAAAACCACCTGAGGGGGCAGGCCTGCTGAATGGACGGGCTTGTGAACTGCGTGTAGCTGGACCCTCGCCTTTAACCCCCCCC